TTATTACTTGAAAGAAACTTTCAGTAAATGTGGTCAAAGGCTGCCATCTGACTTAACTTTAATTAAAGTTATAAAAGTACATTAAGGGTAGTATCTTCTCAGGATCCAAGAACATCCATTTCCATAAAACAATCAGTGCCTGACCCATAGGACACAATTAATTAAACCATATTATTAGCAGTAGAATTATTATACAAATAGTTAATGTGCACCTACTATATATATGGGTAGCATTGTTAAATGGCATTATGATTGATTAAAAATAAAAAAAAGCATAATCCACAGTCTCAGCCATCAAGCAACTTGTAACATTGCTGGAAAGAAAAGAATACAAATAGAGGACCAAGTAGTAACGCAGTATGTAGAGAATGAAATAAATAGATGGTCCAGTTAATGAGCATGAAAGAACTTGCAGGAGGGAGGGAGTGGGGGCTGGAGCAGGTGGGAGAGCTGCAGCGAGAAGAATACTTAGCTGGTTCTTCCAAGGTGGGCAACATTTGCTCAGGTGGGGCGGGGGGGAACGTGGTAGAAAGCTCAGAAGGTAAGGACTTCAATGGTGGCACTGCCCTGTGCCTTGGTTTCTCCCTCCACAGAAAGCTAAAAAACAGTATCTATATTCCACAGTGGTGTTGTGACGATACTTAACGTAAAGCACGTAGCATGGCGCCTGGCGTGCAGCTGAGTACACTAACACGTTAGCTCATGTCATCATCATCATCATCGCCATCGTCATTATTACTATGGGTTGGAAGCAACCTTAAACAGCTACAATTTTTAAGGTCCCCACAGTGCAATGCAAGTGCCAATTAATTAATTTTTTCTTTTTTTTATTTAGGTTTTTTTTTCTATCTTATTTTTTTTTATTATTATTCGATTTCATTTTCTCTGTCTTATACTGTTCTCTCACACAAGCGAGAAGCGCCAATTAGTTTAGCCTTTGGATTATAAGCTGATGTGTGCAATTTATCAGACGTTGGAGTTTTATGTTAATTGCCCTAGGGGAGATAACCTGTATCAGGCATTGCATAAAGCAGGGGTCCTCAAAACTTTTTAAAAGGGGGGGGGGTGCCAGGTCACTGTCCCCCAGACCATTGGAGAGTGCGGCCCATGTTCCACGCATGCGCGCCGTGGGCCTGGGACGAGTTGGCCGCACAGCAGGACAGGCAGCGGTGGCAAAAACACCCAGCGGGCTGGATCAATGTCCTGGGGTGGGCTGGGGTGGGGTGGGGGGTGCCGCAGTTTGAGGACGCCTGGTATAAAGTTACCAGCAGCACTATATAATGACACCGTGTAAATTTAAGTAATACCACTAGCTTAGAAAAAAAAATTAAAAATCGTCTTTACTGACACTTGACTACCTGGGAAGAAAAAAAGAAATAAAAAAAAATTAAAAAGAAAAAAGAAAACATATTTTTCATTAAAAATAAATAAAAAGAAATTTAAAAAAAAGAGAGAAAACAAATCGGTAGGCAGGAATGCTGAAACTGGGAGTGCTGGTTTTAGGGGAGAAACTGTCTAAGTGGATCAGGTGAGGGTCAAGGCGCATCTAGAACCTTCCAGCGCTCTTACCCAAAGGGGTTGGGGGGGCACGGGCAATATAAGCAACATTAACACTTGCACCCCCACAATACGCTGAAATAAAAAAATAATGATACCCATCAGTTGTATGAGCTATCTTTGTCATAGAAAAAAACACACCAGATTCCTATACTTCTCTCCAGCGAGTTTCTGCTTCGCTTTACCCCACAGAGGTAGACTCACTTGCTTCAAGCCACCACATGTACTCTACCTCCGCTCTCAATACTATTGCCTCAGACCCCCGCGCCCAGCGCGTGCAGCATTATAGCGCTCCAGCTCACCCGTCACCACCCACCTCCGCAGACTCGCAGAAACACCATGGCATCACACTCCATCAACACTCAGTCTTCAATCTACTTCTTCCTACCTTACGCTTCTCAGAGAACGCCGTCACTCTGTTTTTATTTGATAACACTCGACGCTTGCCTGATGTCATCTTAACCTGTTCAAAAATGACTGATGAGTCCTTCACTACATCCTTCAAAATGTCAAGACAGGCGTCGGTGCTCACGACCTTGTCATCGCCTCAACATCGGGGAGGTCTAGGCCGGGCGGATTGCCTCAAGGTCAGGGTGTCGAAACCGAGCGCTGACAAGCAGCGCGCGACCCCCGTCTCTACTTATAAAGGACGAAAAGAAATTAATTGGCCAACTCAAGTATCATATAGCTGACAATCTCACCGCATACCGGGGTGGTGCATGGCCTTGTCAGTGCCCAGCTTAGCTCCGGGAGGCTTAGGCAGCGAGGACGGCGTTGGAGCCAGGTTTGACGCCTGCTGTCAGTATCTCGCCACGCATCACTCTAGCTGGGGGCAAACAAAGCGAAGACTGGGCTGCTCTGCGAACAGAAAAAAAATTTCCAAATGGCTTCCTGAACTGTACGCTCAGCTTGGTGAATGAAGCCTTTAATGTGATACTTAAAGCCAAATGAGGTCGCTCAGGAGGTCAGGAGTCTCGAGACCACCTGAGCACATGAGTGAGACCGGGGCCCCATCCATCGTATGAAAATTACGAAAGAAATTGAGCTGGACAACCATAGGTAGTATGTAAGAGCACTCCGGATAGTGAATAAAAATATTATCGCGGTGCATGGAATGGCGGGCATGCCTGTAGTCCAGCTACTCGCGGAGGCCTGAGGCACGGAGGATCTGCTGACGCCCAGGATGTCGAGGTCTGCTGGTGACATGTCAGGCTGACGCCACCGGCATGGCCGACACTAAGCCAGCCGCGGGCTCAAATAGATAAATGCAAACTAAAAGTAAACGCCAGAACATGAGTTTATTCTACGGTCCTTAATCTCCCGTGAAAAGACCTTTGACACTCACAATAGCTCAGCTCATTTGTGCAGAAGCTGCCTTATGTGGTTCCGTGGTCAGCACAACCCTCACTCGCGGTGGGCTGAGCTTTCTGCTTTTGGGCTGGAACTCGAGGCCAGGGGAACCAGCATATTGCTGAATCCATCTCTCTCCCTTATGTGTCAGACTCACTGCGTTGTGGTTATCAAATGAAAGAATACATTTCCAACGAAGAAGGAATTTATAATAATCATATAATACAAAGTTTTGGACTTGCTATACGACGCATTAGAATATATATGGAGGAAGATAGTCTGTTATGCGAAGAGGATATCTCTAGCTTTAACATTCTACACGATCTTTATTCCTTTAAGTAGAGAAAACTGGGGAAAGAATACTCCTTTTCTTTTTTTGTTTGTTGTTTCTGTTTGCCACGGTGCTTGATGCCATGTGCGCCAGCCCTACGCTCACCAGCTACAGCCTTCCTGCGCTTTCCAAGCGTATTTTTCTCTCCTGCCCCTTTCTAGCCCTTCTTTTTCAAGTATTGCTGGGACTTTACATGTCACTCGTGGGTGAGCCATCACTGTCCCGGTGCTAATATTTTTTTCGTTTATGTTGTTATTTTTTTTATTTGGCCAATTAATCTCTTTCTTATTTTTTATAGTTATTTTTATCTGGTTCGCTTCTTTCTCTAGTGCTGGTTTCTTGAAATCCTGACTTTTTCGAGCGATTCCTGTCCTTGCTCTCGGCCTTCTATTCCAGCGTGCTAGCGATTCCTACAACGCCTTCAGTACCCCATTATCTTTTTCTTTCTTCTTTTTTCCTCTGGCCATAACTGTACATATTTTCCTTTAACTGTAAAACTGAGAAATGATCCTGTTTCCTTTAAGAGGATAGATTTGCTTGTAATATAATTATATATTACTCTCCTCGACTTGTTTTCTCATATTGCCACATATTGGGTGATCATATTTGTTTCTTTTTTAATAATATTTTCCTAATACCTGGACCTATTAATATTATAACATAACATCGATTTTTATAATATCTGTGTTTCAGAAACTTTACGGTATATTAGGTCCTGGTTATATTAGGAATGACTTATTTAATTTTTTTACTTTATTATATTATCTATACATGTTGTGTCTATATTTAATTTATTTTCTATTTTATAAATCTTTCTTTTTTTGTTTTTTTGTTTAATGTTTTTGAATTCCGTATAATTAATATCAATAAATTGATTGTTCTTGCAGGTATTTTCAAATGTTCTAGTTGTTTTATTATATGGTAGGACATGCTACATGGCTTTTGAAAGACATAGCTCACTATGTGATTTTTTCATATATTTGAGCGCAGGATTTTCCCTCGTGTGTTAATGTTGGATTTCTTTTTGATTTTATGAAGTAAGTTCTGATAATTCTCATTAAGCCCTTTTGCTCTGAGAGCTATTTCCTCCTGAGTTCTGTGTCTGTTGTACTTCGACGTTCTACCTTTTGGCCTTTGATAAGATGCTTGTACGTAGAAGTATGTGTAGTGAGTGAGGAGTGCGGACTTTCTCTTGTCGGCGTTCTTATTGGTGTAGATGAGTTGGTTTCAGTGCGTATGTTGCCTGTTGTTCTCTCCACGGTCTCTGTCCTCCTACTTTAATTCTTTCATTTGTGTTTGCTGTTTCAGGTCTGTATTTTTTCATTGTCTATATATTTTTTATTGTTTTTTTTTTTTTAATTTCTTTTTTCGTATTCTTATTTATTTTTTTATATTTTTTATTTCATTTTCTTTTTTTCCTTTTCATTTGTCACATAATCCTTTGGTATTATTTGTTATCTTCCTTTTTGAATTAGATATTAAATGGTTTTTTCATTTGATGGTTCTGTCTTTTTTCTTTTGTTGATTATCTCATATTAAATGATATATCAACTAGTGCTTATTTCTCATATTATAGTTATTTCGTTATTGTGGGCATTTTTGCTGTTTAGTTATATCTTCTAATTATTCCTTTGTTTTTTGTGCATAATTTGCCACAATTTATGCTCTTGGTTATTTCTGTGATTGTCTCAGTATTTTGTAATCTTGAATATTTTTATATATATAACTTTATTTTTATAACAGTTTCATATCAGTTCGTCGGGTTTTTACCATATTTTTTTGATGTCTTGTGAAGTAGACGGATATTGGTTTATTTTTCTTAGCTATCTGTCTATGTATGTCTTATTATTTTCCGTCTTAATATGTGTACATTGCATTTCTTATTACCATTCAAAAATTTTATTGTAGTTTTAGAGGCCATCTCGTTGTTTTCTTTCCAGGCCTGTCATTCGCTACACTTCTATGTGTAGTGTTCCTTTGAATAGTGATATGGATTTCTGCTTCATTACATTTGTTTCATTTTATGTTTCTTATGACCTTTTGAGCTCTGTAGCCAATGTAGCTGTATGACCTTGCCGTCTTCTATTTTATTATTAATGTTATTATTAGAATATTAATTCTCAAATTTCTAATATATTTATTATATTTTTTTTTTATGTTCCTTTATATTGATTAATCCAGCCGTTGCTTTCTGTGCTTACATTGCCTGTGGTTATCTCCGGCTTACTTTCGGTTATTCTGAGCTATATGTTTATTCTTTTTGTTTTTGATCCCTAGGAGGTTGAGGTTTTTTGCTTGTGGGCGAGGCTGACCATAGGTCATTCTATCTTCCTATTTTGCCCTGTTGCAATTTCTTAGATTTCATGACTTCTTGATTGCATAAAAATTATTTTATTTATTGTAGAGTATTTTTATATATGTATATCTCCCTATTATATACTTTGTCTTCACTTATGGCTAATTTATATATCATTTTATTATTATTATTTATTGTTTTAAAGATATATTTTTTGGTTCTTGTTTATTAATTACTCTATTTATTTTTATTCTCTCATTTACTATATTTCATATCAATTATTTGTATTTGATTCTTATTATTCAAATATTTCTGCTACTTATAATTTTATATAATTTTATCGCATCAAAATAATGTCTTTAACTTCATGTGCTCTATCAGTGTGTTCATTTCCCCACACCACAAATTTGGAGCTCTTGATCATTATTTTTACATAACATAATATTTAATCAAATATGTTCAGAGTTTACTTCTACAATAAAATGTACCTTTATACTCCCTGTGTTAATGAGAATTTAATATGTACAACACACTGGGAGATTGTTTTTACTCTCGGTATATCAACAATACTTACCTATGTTTGAAATGCATATTTAATATTAATAATACCTTTTAGAGAAATACCACTTTCGTATTACTGATCTGAATATGGCAGCAGCCCACACAGTCAGTCATTGATCGGGCACAAGGTTCAAGGCTGTCAGAAGGATTTGAGATAGAGTTCAGCTATTTGGCTTTGCAGAAGGCCAAAGCCAGGTAATTTCCTCTGGCCAAGTCTGCAGCTGAACCAGAGCATGCTCCCTACACGTAGAGAGTTGTCTATGTTAAGATCAGTCGCACACGTGCGTTTTAAAATTAATCTTTTTGGGTATAATTGAAATCATCACTTCAGATGTTGCTTTGATTGTTTTCTCAATCTTCACTCAGGTCCCTGCCTCCTATGTGAATGCTCCACAATGTCTATAAAGCCTTACAGAACTATCTATAATCTGAAACATGCAAGTTTAAGACCCGCATAACTACATCTTTTTTTTTTTTTTTTCGGCATACTTATGGGGGTACAGATTTAAGGTTCAAATAATGCCCATTTCCCCCTAAACATTTCTTTAAGGAGTGTCAGACTCAAATGCTTCTCTCATCTTTGCCACCTAGAGTAGTAAAAACCTCCGCCCAAATACATCTTCTTTTCATTGTTGCATTTTTAACTGTATGATCTTTCCACTGTTTTGTACGTTCCAAAATAAAAATTAAAAAGATAAGAAATGTAAATATAAAATTTTAAAAATAATGAAAAAAAAAAAAAAAATAAAGAAATTAATGGTTATCTGAATTGGGATTATAATTTCTCCAAGGAAACTGGCCAGGTCTCTTGTCGTCTTTAGAGCAAATCTGATCTGCCATATTGCTAGGTACATAGTATGTGCTCATGAAGCAGCTGAGCAGGCCGTATGTGCCCTGGCTAATAGCACTGGCTTTGGACCCAGAGTCCTGGGTTCGAATTCAGGCTCTGCCATTTCTTACCCAGTAACCTATGGTACATTATTTAACCTCACCGAACTTTTCATTTCCCATCTGTAAACTGATGTAATAAAATCTAACCTCACAGAGTTTTGAAGACTGAATGAATTATCCTTTTAAAGCACCTAACAGAGCCCTTGACATGAAAGAACATGATCAAACCTTCATTATTATTTTTTTCGAGACCGGGTCTTGCTCTGTCACTCAGGCTGGAGTGCCATGTGCAACATAGCTCATTGCAACCTCAAAATCCTGGCGCTCAAACTGTCTCCCGCCCAGCCTCCCTGAGTACCTTGGGATTATAGGCATTTGCAACTACACCTAATTTTTTTTTTTTAATCTTTTGTACATAGGAATCTTGCTATGTTGCTCAGGCTGATCTCAAACTCTTGGCTTAAAGACCTCCCACCTCAGCCTCCCAAAGCACGGGATTTCAGGCATGAGCCACTGCACCCCAGCCTGACCCACGTAAGGAAAGCATTCCGATCTGTCACCATTCCTAGAAGTCACTGAAATTAATCCACAGCAGTGGCGTATTATAGGACTTGGGTCGTTTTTAGGTAGTCACTTGAAATGGGAGTCCTAATTCTAAAAGTGTCAAGTAGAAAACATGAATTTGCTTATTCGTGCTTTTTTTTTTTGAGACAGGTCTAGCTTGTTGCCGCTAGAGTGAGTGCGATGGGTCAGCCTAGCTCACAGCAACCTCCAACTCCTGGGCTCAAGTGATCCTCCTGCCTCCAGCTCCCCCAGAGTAGCTGGGACTACAGGCATGCCCACCATGCCGCTCATTTTTTCTATATAACTATTTTTAGTTGGCCAATTAATTTCTTCTGTCTTATATAGAGACGGGGTCTCCCTCTTGCTCAGGCTGGTCTCGAACTCCTGACCTCGAGTGATCCTCCCGCCTCGGCCTCCCAGAGTGCCAGGATGACAGGCCTCAGCCACCGCGCCCGGCCTTGCTTTCTCACAAAGTTTCCGTAGTTGTTGTTGTTGTGTTTTCCAAGTCAGTGTGTGTGCGGACGATAAAAATGAGGCAATTTTTAAATGACTCTCCGGTGCCCCAGTGACCCCCGCCGCGCTCAGCGGCTCGGAGCCGTCCCCGCGGGGAGGCCGCGCCGGCGAGGCCCGCGCCAGGTGACCGGGTGTTTGTGTCCGCAGCCAGGACGAAGAGGAGCGCGACGGCTCCCCGGACGAGCAGGCGTCGCCCCCGCCGTCGCCCTTCCTGTCCGCCATCATCGCCGCCTTCCGGCCCGCCGCCTGCGACGACGACGAGGACGCCTGGCGCTGCCACGCCGGCCAGGTGCTGACGGACCGCGACGGCGCATGCGCCGCGCTCACCTTCCCCGTGTTCGCCCGCCTCTTCCAGGTCAGCGGGCGGGGCCTTCATAAAATGTGTATTTTTATTCTATAAAAAAATACATTTTATTTTTTAATATAATTTTTATAATTTTTTATACTTTTTATTTTTTATAAGTTTTTATTTAAAATTTTTTTTGTTTTTATTTATTAGAAATAATTATAAATAATATTATTTTATGATGGTGATGGTTTATTATTTATTATAATAAATTTTTATAATTTTTATTAAAATTTTTATTTTTTATATATTTTATTATAATTATTTTATTGTGATGGTGATGATTTATTATTATAATAAATAAATTTTTATAATTTTTATTAAAATTTTTATTTTTTATATATTTTAGTTATAAATATAAATAAATAATTATTATTTTATTATGGTGATGATTTATTTGTTATGGTAAATAAATTTTTAAAATTTTTTATTAAAAGTTTTTATTTTACTATCTTTTATTATAAATAAATGTTATTACAAATAATTATTTATTATGATAGTAATGATTTATTATAATAAATTTTTATAAAATTTTTAATTTTTATATATTTTATTTATTATAAATAAATGTTATGAATAAATTATTATTTTATTATGATGGTGATGATTTATTTTTATTATTATTTTAATTTCTTGGG